GCAGCAAAAATGAGCTAAAAAATATATTAAAAACTACAAAAACATAGCAACAAAATTGTAGGAAACAATTAGCAACAATTACTAAAATTAGCCACCAAACGATAAAATAGCAAAAATAGAGTTTTACATCGCAAAATTGGCAACAAAAATGAGTTGAAAATATATTAAAAACTGTAGAAATATAGAAAAAAAACTGAAGGAAAATTAAGAACAACAAATCAAAAAAATGGCACCTAAATTTACTTTAATGGGATTACAACCTTGTAATTGGCTAAACATCGTGCTTTTGCTACTTGTACATGTAGAATCTATTGTTATTGTACTTTCCTTACTAGTACTAGAGCTATTCGTTATTACATATTCATTGTATATATCAAACAACAATTTCAAAATATATTCAATCTTAGCCTCACAGTTTTCCTCATCATCTTTATTTTGCATTTGGTAGCAATATGTTATAAAATTTAGCTTGTAATGAGGATCAAGAATACTGCCAAAAGCAAATATCAAACTATAGGAGTCTCAATACTTATCAACTTTATCCTTCATCCTAGTTGCCATCTCCCTTAAATAAATATCCTTATTTTTCATATAATCCAAGAAGTATGATTCAATCATCCACACAAATTTGAAGTGCAAAGTTTTATATTGTTGGATATTTAGATCCAAAAACCAAAGTAGTGATTTCAAAACAATGTGTCAATACCTCAAAAATTCTAAGAACTCAAATCCATTCTTCTCCATCCAATAAACATTTAAAATGCTTATCATCCAATTTAAAAGTAATAAAAGCCTCCTTATATAAAAATACCCTATCAAGTGTGGTGAGTGTAGAATTCCACTCAATAGGGGAATCCAACCATAATCCCTTCCTCAAATCACAATTTGCTCGTTTAATACAATCTTTAAAATTCAAAATTCTAGCCTTAGAAGCAATTATATATTTTATCCCCTCCCCAATACACTTAACACTTTCATCAACCAATTTCAAGCCATTTTGCACAATCAATTCAAGATATAAGTAAAACATCTAACTTGGAAATATTTCCCTTTACATAACAGTGTCCTCTCAAGATTAAGTTGACTTTTCAAAATTTCTTGCATATTATCATTAGCAATGTTTTTGGGTTCAGCTCGGTGGTTTACTTGTTTTGGCCACTGGGTCTAGTTTAACCAATTGAATCGATTCATCCGATCGATCCAACTGATCAACTAAAAAGGGGTAGATGGATACATAGCAATGATCCAAATGGATCTTCATCTTCTCCTACCAAAGATTTAGCTCGAAATCCCATCAAGATTCCCGATCACCTCTTTGATGGACTTTAAGACCACTTTCCATGCCAGCTATGATTTGATCACCGATCACCTCCTTTTGTTATGGTAAAAATAGAAGAAGAATTGAAAAGGTGAGTTACAGCAAAGGAGATAAGGCAAATCTATTATGTTGCTGCTTCTGTTCGATGAAAGATTGCTTGATGAAAGGGATGATTTGTTCTATTGCTTTGCTGCTTATATTCAATGAAGGAAGGAAAGGAAGGTGAGCGGTAGAGGAGATGAGGCAGATCTATTCTGTTGCTACTTCTATT